ATCCTATTAGATTCTGAGAGGAGTGATTAATGTATTGATTTTACAATGATATGTATTTTTTTGTGTCTGTCATCACCTTTTAGGACAGTAAAAGTGCTTATATTTTCTTCCTATAATGTGATAGGAAAGTGAACTTATTAAAAAATAACATAGTTGTTTTATACTAATTTACAATTACTGAAAAATTATTTTACTTTCCCAAAATCGATAAGTTTCATCTTATAGAGATCATAGCAAAAAACCTACACACAGCTTTAATAGTTATTTAGTTTTTTTATTTTATCTATTTTGTGAAAATAGCTAGTCTTGCATGTCTTGGTCTTGTTTTGATCATCACTATATAAAACAAAAATTGAACGAATAGCTTTTAATTAATAATAATTCAAGTTTTAAATTTAGTGAGTCATGTGTGCAACTAGCATTGAATATTAGATCGCAATATTTGTGGAGCATTTGCATCATTCTACTAATTTCAACTTAAAATTCTCAATGGTATCATTAAAATTAAAATAAGAAACAAAAGTTGTTTTGGACGTTGTTGTATGGTATAGTAGGTATAAGTATAGAAGTATAGCAAATACTTTTCGAACGTTGAACCGTCCCGCGTATTGGATACAGTTACCGAGGAGTTAAGAGCATAGACAAGTACATATTATAAAGGTTAAGAGGCCGTCATGGCCGTCATGCCGTCATCGTAAAAGTGAAACGTATACAGTATATACTATATAACGATCAGACAGCATCTACTGACTATTATCTGCATTCTCATTTATTCATGATATATGTACCTATTAGCCATTAGGAACGCGGGCACAATAGTACAAAACTATAAATACAAAATGTTGGTACCTACAATAACGACGATATCTCGTATATACACTATAGAGTCGTGTGTAAAACGGGAATATCATTGATTGGGAAAAGGGGACACACGAAATATGGAAAAAAAATTTATCAATAGGTAAACCAGACCAGACGATCTAGTCGAGATTCGAGTATATGGGAATGGTGGTTATTTTATATGCATATCAGCAGGGGCCGAGCAAGGGGTCTCTCAGTTTCAAATCGCAACCATTGACTAGTTACAAAACAATACTCTTGGTCCGCGGCAATATCGGTTGTAATTATTATTTATTAGTTATTACAGATATCTGATATTGTTGTTGTGTACCCGTGTAGCCGTGTAGGTACTGCGATTGTGTGCCGTGTGGTACACGGTGTTAACACTACGTTACAATCACGGGTAGTACATAGTCAGGGCCGGATTTTAGCTTTTTAACACCGGGAAAAATAAAAAAATACGGCCATTTCAGGGACATGACCAAAATTAGTATTTTTTTATATGAAAAATCAAGCACACTCACACAGTATTTTGAAGACCAACCGTTTACAAAGCCTTTCGCAGTATACTTGACCAACTAATTATTTACCACAAATAAATTTAACGATTTTAATTTAAAAATGAAACATTTTAAATTTTAAACTAATCAAGTAATAGTTTTAGAAGCACTTCTTAATGATGTATTTAACTCTTTGGTCAATATTTCTAAGTTTCAGTTTTAGAATAAATAATATTAATAATAATTAATAATAACATGAATTTAAATAATAATAATAATAACAAATCTAAATTATTTAATATTTATCCATTGCTTACTTTTAATATAAAAAGCTTTATGTAAAAGAACAATATTTAATTAACAACATAACAATATTATACATTTTTAATATTTGTTACAATCAAAACTTAATATGTATCTACCTAGGTACCAAACAAATACAATGAAACAAACATGTAATTATGTACTGAAAATTGAAATATAATGATTATAACATGATAAAGAAATTTACTTTATCATGGATTATAACTTAGGATTATAACCTATGGATTAAATGTATATACTAAAATATCTACATTCTACGTTCAACATTTTATATATTTCCAAAATAAATACAAGAACCCAATTGTCTATTTGACGTCTTTAACTATAAAAAGGTGGGTAAGTGGATGTCGCTCTGCTGTACAGTAGGTTACAAGTGTGTCACTGTATAATGGATGCTATTAAATTTGAATTCAATGATACAATATCATTGTATAAGAAAAACGATTCTGAGCGAAGACGGTATGTCAGTCTAGGTTTAATACAAATTATATACATATCTATGGTATTAAAAAAAAATTGACCTATAATAAATTCCAAATTAATCATATCACATTATCACAATATCCATTAGGTACTTATAACACGTTATACATCACATCAATAACAAATCCTGATACTATCATATATATATAATAGTACACTTTAGAAGTTTCAAGTAGGTACCCACGAATAATATTATATAATCACAACAAAATAACTAGGTTTTTTAATATGTAATTTCGTCCAAATTTGAACCTAAAATGACTATAAAAATAAACTGTGATTGTATATTTTTTAGATTTTTCGGTAAGAGAATTAACTATTTACTTGTTTTAAATGTTCAATCCTTAGCTATAAAAACTGAACATTTTATAATTTATTAATTACGATGATTTATAATTTTCGAGATTTTAAAAAAATCTGTCAAAATTCGATGTTTAAATGCTTATAAAGAAAAATTGTGCCTATGTATTTTTAATATTTTTCAACTGATATTGTAACAATATATTAGGAGCCTTGTATTAAATGTTTACACTTTTTGGCCCAACAGATAAAACTTTATTGATATTCATAGAAAAAAAAACTAAAAAAATTGAAAAATGAAAATATCCGTAAACAGCTCAAAAAGAGTCAAAATATTTTCAAAATTGTATGGTGTATAGGAAATGCTAATATAAACATTCAGTGAAATATTCATGTATCTATAGTTATTCGTTTATGAATAACAACAAAATAAGGAAATCGCTACATGAGAATACGAGTGAACATCCAATGTTGTAAAAATTTGAATTTCAAACGCTCATAAAAATTTAATTTGACTGTCCGGTAGAGATTTTTTTATTGATAAAGGTAGACAAACTTATGAGTAATCTTGTATTACATTTTCAAATCTTAGATTTAAGAAGAATTTTACGAATTCTTAACTCAAAATAATTTGCTAATTTTCGTGATTTTTCCATATTTTGTCAATTTTTGAACTTTAAATGCTTATAAAAAAAAACTGTGACTAACGATTTTTAATATTTTTTATCTGCCTTTGAAACAATATATTAGGAGCCTTCTATTAAATTTTCAAGTTTTTTTAACCAACCAATAAAATTGTATTGATATTTCTAGAAAAAAAACTAAAAAAAAATGAAAAATGAAAATGTCCCTAAACAGTTCAAAATAAATCAAAATATTTTGAAAATGTTATAGTGTATAGAAAATGCAAATATAAACGACCAGTGAAAATTTCATGTATCTACGGTCATTTGTTTTAAAGTTACACCAATAACCAAATTCAATTTTCTGAAAAATCAATTTTGCGTAAAAATTCCCGTTTTTCCTTAATTTTTCTTTTGTTTTTCTTGGCGCTTGTGAAAAGTACTGGGAATTTTAAATTTTGACCTCCCAATGCACCAACGATATTCACTTTCCAATCGAACAAGATACTGAAGTCGAAAATCGAAGCATTATTTCGACTACTTATCGTGTACACAGACACAAAAATTAAAAATTAAAATAAAAACACACATCATTGTAAAATCAATACATTCATCGTTCCACTCAGAATCTAAAATAAATTAGATGAAAAAAACAGTTTATAAAAAAAAACTAACCAAATAGAATATTATACATATTTTCCTTTTACATTATTTTAATATAATATGTAAAACATAATATTCAATCTGACTTGGGCTACATATCAATAGGATAGTTTTAAATTATTTAATTATGTTGTACTTTTGTACTATAAAATTTATCAAGAAAATTAATAGTTGCATACTTGTATTTCAAAAGCTACGAACATGTAATTTAATAAATAATCTGAAAACAATTAAATCAGTAGTCAGTAATATTTTATGTAATACCTATTTGAAAAAAATAATTATATATATTATATTATTAACCTATTAGATAATATTTATTATTATTTTTTTTTTTTATATCCTGTATAATATACATTATAATGTGTATAAAATAAGTAATGTATAAACTATGTCATTTACCATACTTTATTATATCACTAATCGAAGAGTAGGTACCTACTACCTACATTAATCTATGATAGACTATAGGCGTGTACTACAACACCCGCTGACAGTTGCGGACGGGTATATTGTCCTTCTTAATTTGTAAATCAATGTTTTTAGTAGAACTCGGATTTATATGTAAATACATATTTTTACTGTAACTTGAGTCCTATAGTTATTCTATTTGTATAAAGGTATAACGTTTTTTTTAGATTAATAAAATGTATGTAGTGGTTAGGTTAGGTAGGTACACACAAATATTTTTGATTTTTTTATACTTTTACGACAAACAAAATTTTCATGATCTTCAAGAAACATATTATTATAATATAAGCATTATAATAAAATATTTAAATATATACGCACATTTTACTATGCCCCTAAAAAGTTTCAGGTCGAGCCTGGACTTGACCGGCTCGCCCAGTGAGCACGCCTATGTTCACATACCCAATATTACACAATATTTCCTGTAAAATATTATTTTATAGTTTTGACTTTTGTTTTAAAGTCCACCCACGAAATTTACACGCCCAAGGATAAATCCCCGACTCCGCCCTGCCCTAGATCCGGCCCTGAGTATAGTTAGATAGAAATATTTAATGATTTTAATGTATATTTTAATTTTATAAACCATGATATCATATTAATACCTATGTCCTATATGGCTATATGGTCTTTATCAATGTATAAAACGATGTACGAAACATTAATAAAATAAAAATTAACAATAATATTCGTCAATATATTATATTATTTTTAGATTTAAAATTCATTAATGTATCTTATCAATGCTCGTTGATGGTGGTCATAATAATAATAATAATAATAATAATAATAATATTCAAAAGAAAAGAGAGCGGAGATAAAATATAACGGGCGGTCGGCGCGGCCCACGATCTCCCCGAAATCCCCTCGTACGTTCTACGACTATTGCCATCGTCGGCGACGACCGACGCGCCGCTGCCTCAGACGGGATGGACGATGGTGACGACGACGCTGATGCCAGCAACGGTTGAACGGTCGTCATCAGCTGTTCAACGGAATGCCATCTGTCCCGGCGCACGGGACGCGGAGCGGGGAGTTTTCGGTGTCGCGCTCGCTCCACACCAGCAGCAGGCCCACCACACCTGCCGACGACGACGCGCAGACAAATCCGTATCCGCGTCACGAAATTCTCGTGCACAACTTCACGCACGTAATGTAATAACATTATACGCTAACGCATATACATATAATATATATATACATGCGTGTTGTGATTTTTTTCTTTTATTTGGTTTTTTGCGCTCTTTTTCTTTTTTTCTTTTCTGTCCCCTATTCCGCCGGACCGAAGAAACATGCGGATCGCATAGCCGTCTCACCACGATAGCGTATTGTTTTTTTTTTTTTTTTTCAACTGCACCGCAGCATTACAACTCCCGCGCCACCCGACGACGACAATTATTATAACACACAACCATACCTGTAGTAGTTGTAGTAATAATAATAATAGTTAATATTATTATTTGATATTATCTCGCGACGCCTGCCGCTGCAGCAGCCGTGTTGTCCGACACACACAGACGTCCGCCAAGCGGTCCACTCCCGAGTCTCGCACCACAATACATCGTCGTCGTCGTCGTCGTCATCGTTATTTGTCGCATTAATATTATTATTACAACAGTTCTCTCTTGTCGCATCGCACAGCCAATCGTTTCGCCGTATAAACAACACACGGACTGCAGTGTTATCACCGCCGCCGCCGCCGCTGCCGATACCGTTTTTTCAGCAGTCGCCATAAATTGTCGAAGCACATTATTCGTTCACGCCCGGCTCCGTACACGATAATCGATCAACATGTCCGACGACAAAGTAATTGGTCACCGGCTCCAGAGTTTTAAGCACAGAGGCAAAACCGAAATCGTAAGTAACACTATTGGATGAGCGAAACAAATAACTGCAGCAGCAGTAGTAACTCAATTCTCAAGGCTTTTCAGTAGAAGCAAATTATAGTTTTGATTACGATTCTTAATATTTCTTTCTGATCTTGAACAACGTTTTATCGGTATTCAAAACATGGGTGTAGATAAATTATTCAACTGTTCTTGGTTGGATCTAATTAGTCCTTTAAAAACATCAATTTTGTTGAATGTTTGCTCTATTTGTTGCATATTATATGAATATTATGTTAGTTGTTAAATGTGTCAAAGTATATTGTTTCACAATGTTTGATGAATTGTGTAAGGTGTGTATTTGCATCTGTATCCAAATATGTGTAGCAGGCAGTTTAGCCTGAAGTGAACTGGTCCAGAAGACCGTTTGTGTACAAAACCTGGACACATTTTATATTTACACCTTATTACTTAGGTGGGACATTTATTGCCACTGCTACTATGGTTATAAACAAGGGTGGTAGTTTCTGGTAGGTATATATTTACCACCTGGTTATGTTTAGTTTGCACTACTTGATTCAATACTTATTGCCTACAAATTTTTAGAAATTAAATTTATTATCTATAACGGTTTATAACAAATTGTTATTCTACTCTTCATAAGATAGGTACCTATATCGGCTATATCTACTCTTTCTTATTCTATATTTTAGATTGGAATTTCAATATACTAAAACTATTTTATGCCTTACAGCTTATAACATTTCTAGAATCTAAGGAACAAAATATAAATATCTACTTAGAATCTATAAAATTAGTGGAATACACCATGAGGTTATCTTTATCTCAGTGGTTTATCACTGACCACTATTTTTATTTACAAACTACTAAACATTTTAAAAATTAAAGTTGTATTTTGTTATCCATCCAATTTAAGCAAAAATCACTATTAAAAATACTACATTTGTTATGATGAAATTAAATAATTATTTAACACCAGTCCATTGTTCTTTATTTTACAATGCACTGTAACTCTGTCCACGTTACGATGAAATGACTCCATTTTTGTCAGCGTCACATAAAATTAATATTTAATATGTGTGCTAGTAGTTGTATGTCAATAATTCTATTTTTCGCCAATTGATAACAATAGAAAATTCTTTATTTTCTTCCGCACATGTATACCAATATGATCACTATCTGATCAGAGTACTTAAAATGTAATCAGGTAGTAGGTACTTAAATGTTTGTAAAATTAAACTATATTACCAAACAAGAATTTAAATGAAAGATATTCTAGAATTTTATAAAAAGGCTGAAATTAATTTAACATAAATCTATTAGAAGTCTTAAAAAATATGTCTATCATTGAAAAAATACATTACATTTTAACCAATTATTTGTTGTACCTACTTACATAAATTATTTAGTTGTAATGTAATAACTACTGTGTACGTGTCTAGTTATACTTACTATGCTAATTGAACAATAAATAGTTAAATTGTAGTTATTTTATTTTTATAATATTATTCTGAATCTACCTTATTTAATTATTTACCTACAAAGAGTTTATTTTGATATGTTGATATATAGGTATTAGATAGGATTATATAAGACTATAAAATATACTTTTTTTGTGTTCAGTCTTCATAAAGTTTTTTTAAAAATAAATTTAGATGTATACAAATTAAATAAAACAACTGAGACATACAAATTTAAAATAAAATTAATGATCCATAAACCAGTGTATAAATAAAAAAAATCTTAAGAATTACCTATTTTTCTCCAGCAAGAGAACACGCTGTAGCCAGATGAAAATCGGTTCTTCTACACTGAATTGGTGTGTTCTCTCGCTGGACAGTGTATAAGTTAAATTATGAATATTGTTAAGTGCATTATTAAGATCTAATTGAAAAACAACCGTATGACAAATATTTTCCTTCAATTGATTATATTAATTGTACTTGCATCATCAACATTGAAGTATAATTAAAATAAAACAATTAATTGATACTATGTTTTTTTTCATTATCATTGTGATACCCATACGGCCATACCTAACAAGAAAACTTTAAAACAAATTTTAATCCTAATTCTATTTGTGAACCTTATTGTTTCTTATAAGAAAATAGTGCGCAGTGTGCAGTAATTGTGGCCTGTGGGCACAATATCTAAATATCTTGCACTATCAGTGATTTCAAAGGTTATAATATCATAATAGGTTAACATAATCAGCTGGTAAAATCAACATTTGATAACAGTGTTATCATTATTCTTTTGTTTATTTAATAGAACATTAAAAAATTAAAACTTGTGAATATTATGTACCTATCTATTAAAAAATTAAGGGTTTTACTACCATGTTGCATAAACAGCCACTAAACATTTAATGCTACTATGTGAGCTAATGGTCTCTTTAACATGATTTAGTGGCCATGAATTATCCATTTAAATTTAGTGTGTCATTAAATTAATACATTTTTTATGCAACTTGGCAAGGTACGATTTCTAAGAATTATTTTTTACTTAAAATTCCACTTAGTGTTTAGGTTTAAAAAATTAATAGTTACTAAATGAGTACTATTCCTCCGAATTCCTACCTAGTAAATTTTTATGGATATGGTTACACCCAAAGGAAAAAACAATGTACATCATTCCATAGGTAATAATTTGCATTTTTATTTTATTTTTTATTTAAGTTTTTTTTTGAAAAATCTATTGAAAGTGAAGTCCTGTGAATTAAAAAAATCATAGTTAAATACCTATCTAATGAAAAAGTTGGAACATATTTTAAACAAATTTTTTTTAAGTAAAAATTTTACTGTAAAATAGTATATTTTTGTTTAAAATTAAAATTGATAAATAAATTACCTACATTAATGGTTAGAAGTTTAAAATGGATTTGAGTTTGTGAAAGAAACAAAGATTGAAATCAAAGTCTAGAAAACTGAAGTTTGACCTATCCCTAATTATAATAAATATTACTAGTATGAAGTTTTAAGACACTTTTATAATGACAGATTACACAATACCTATATTATAACACATATTCAATATGATACCGGTGCAAAAACTGAAGAAAATTTTTCTGTTATAATATTGAAACTTAATTAAAAATATTGTAAGTAGTCAGTCAGTACAACTATTATAGAAGTGAACTATACCTAATAAGAACCTAAACCTATTGATGTTGTACAATTCTTCTATATTAATGTATTTAAAATTAAATGTGCCTATTAAAACTATTACTCTGAATTATAGGAAAGGCGAAGAATTAGAAGCGAGGCAACTGTTGGGCTAAGAAAAAACAAACAAGAACAAGAGTTAATGAAACGCAGAAATGTTGGCGAAGTATTGAATGGTAAAGAATAATAATAAATGTTGCATTCCAACAATTTGTTAAGTATCTTTATTAACTTGCAGATGATATAGACTTGGAAAAACCTTTAACTGAACACGACCTACGCTCTTTGGTTGAAGAAGCTGGTAGTACTATTCCAGATGTACAACTTAAAGCCATACAGTCTGCAAGGAAATTGCTTTCATCTGATCGCAACCCGCCAATAGATGAGCTTATAAACAGTGAAATACTTCCAATCTTGGTTCGTTGTTTAGACGAGCATAATAAGTAAGCAAATTGGTTTTGCATTTATAATATTTAGATCGCGAATCATATAAAACAAACCAATATATGTATCCAAATATGCTGCTTAAAGCCTGAAATAAGCATGGAGGATTTTAAAAAATGCATTAGAAAAAAACACACTTAATAATTTGATTTATGTATTTATGTTTATTCAAAAACGTTTAGGTATAAAGTATCCGCCACCAAAAATAATTATAATTAAAATAACATTTTGTAGAAAATAATGAATATTAATTTAAAAGATATAATATTTCTTAAATATGGCGAGTACTATAGTTCTTATAGCATCATATTATCTGGTGTTGCTGTTGCTTCAAGTAGTCCATTGTAAACACAGCTGCATCTGAATTGAGTCCCAATAAAAACATACAAATTTAGTCACAAGGGAAAAAAAATGTATAATCATTGAGCCCCCCCCCCCCCTTAGATGTGTTTGGCCAAATTTGAGATATGAACATTGAATCAGTACAAAATATAATTGTCAAGTAAACAAATGCATTTAAAAATGCATCTTGATTTAGGATCATCGGATAATTTAAAAATTTTCATTGACATCTTAAAACAGCTTGGTCTATAGTTTATCGTTAGGTTAGTTTTATTAAATACCAACAATGGATTAAAAAAATTTCCAATTTCAGATTTATTTTGAAAATCTTAACAGACATTAAGAAGATGCCAAACCGGCATGTGTTGTCTCTATCTTGCAAATGTACAACGTGGCAAATTTTACATTCACAATAATACATTTTTCTCTGTAGTTTTTAAACTTAGAGTGTAAAATGTATCATTATGAATGTAAAATTTACCATGTTGTACAATTGTAAGACAGTGACAACCACATCATATGGGTTCGGCGTCCTCTTAAACCTAAACTAAAATATCATGTAATAATTAAAAGAATAGTTTGTAATAGGGTAAAAATACATTTTTATTATATTCATAATAATTATTATTCATTTATAATTATTTTTTAGCCCAACATTACAGTTTGAAGCAGCGTGGGCTCTAACCAATATTGCAAGTGGTACATCCATGCAAACTCAGGCAGTTGTCTCAGCAGGAGCTGTTCCATTGTTTTTAAATTTATTAAATTCATCCAATCAGACAGTTTGCGAACAAGCAGTTTGGGCATTAGGTATTTAACTATTATTATCTATTCAGTTTTATTTTAACTAAATTCAAAATTTATAATTTATATCATGTAATTTTAGGAAATATTATTGGTGATGGTCCGCAACTACGTGACTATGTTATAAGTTTGAGTGTTGTGCCAAGATTACTTCTCTTTATCAATCCGGCAATACCGATAACATTTATGCGGAATGTCACATGGGTTATAGTTAACTTGTGTCGAAATAAAGACCCACCACCGGCACAACATGTTATTGATGAACTTCTTCCTGCTCTTAATTATTTGATTAATAATAAAGATATTAATGTAATTATAGTTTACTTTTAAAATTATTTTCAGTAATATGACACCTAATAGCTTTTTAATTTTTAATTTTTTTTAGATTCTTGTTGATACTGTTTGGGCTATCAGTTATTTGACAGATGGAGGAAACGATCAAATTCAAAGAGTTATTGAGAGTGGTATAGTACCTAATCTAATACCGCTATTGTCACACAAAGAAGTGAAGGTTTGTATAATTACATATTAATTTTGAACTATAATTATAATACAACAATTATTTCAAATATAAAATAAATGTTTAGGTACAAACAGCAGCATTGCGTGCAATAGGAAATATTGTTACAGGAACTGATGAACAAACACAAATAGTTCTTGATGCTGGTGCATTATGTCATTTTCCAGCTTTACTTTCTCATTCAAAAGAAAAAATATGCAAGGTATTTAATTAAATATTTTTGGTTATTAGAAATGTGGAAAAAATTGTTGTTTCTCTTTTAAATCTCAAAAATAATATAGGTTTGGTACCCCATGTACCAATAATCTTGATTTGAAAAAGGAAATAGCCTTGTAGTTGAAAAAAAAATCACAGTGTTTATTAATTCAACAAATATTTTCTTAGTGTAAAAAAAAAATCATCTGGGTGATGGAAAGGTGCCTGCTCTAATTCTTGGTAATCACATTTTCAATGTAAATCTGGGTCCATTATATATTCCATATCCCTCACCTGGGTTCTCTTGGTGGTTATTTGGAATGTGCATGTTGTGTTGCCACAATGTGTGATAATCCACATTTCTGGTTTGTGGATGCAGAGTACTGTCCCACACCTAAACCTCTTAAAGCACAAATATATGCAGCTATATTAATTTTAGCGTGTTGGGCCTATAGTGTATAATTATACATTATATAATATATTATATTATGCAGTATTTCTCCTTCAGTTATTATCAGTGGCGGCGCCAGGGTGGGCCCGGGCCCACCTTAAAAAGTCTCCGCCCCCCCCCCCCCCCTGTGGCCCACCCCAAAAATTAAATTTAATCATATTAGAATACTAAAAAATATCTCATGAATAAATCATGATTTATTAAAATATGAAAATATTAAGTCATAATAGATGCCGTGAACAACATTTTGGATGGGTTGAAAACTATATGCACAATAATATGCTTTCAAGCCTCATAAATAACGTGTATTTTCCAGTTGCTGAATACGAAAATAATAATTATTATTAAATATTCATTGGTATTGAGTGTAATTATGGGTTAGGGAGCATAAAAATCAAAAAGTGTTTACATGAATATATATTTTGTTAGCAATTAAATACTATTAATACAATACATATCATGTTTACAAATCATTGTTTTAGTAAGTTTACACGATGAAGTGTAAAAAAAAATTGGAAGTTGACCCTCCCCCTCACCCTCTGCGAAATTGCCTGTCATCACTATTGTTTATATATATATATATATATATCAAGTTAACAATTTGGCCCTCCCTAAAAAATTTGGGCCCCAGCCTGGCCCACCTGGTATTAAAGTTCTGGCGCCGCCACTGGTTATTATTGAGATTATATACCCTTGTAATAATATTTAGAACCAAAAGCATACAACATAATTTGATATATTATATTCCTTTCTTTTGTTGTTTTAATATATATTTCTATTATATTATACCCTTGTTATAACTTATAATATGTGGTATCATAAGTCTAGGTTGTAGTTATATTTTATATTGTATGAAATATCAGAGCATGTAGTATGTTTAACATAATAAACAAATTTTATTTATGTAGGAAGCTGTTTGGTTTCTTTCAAATGTTACTGCTGGAAATCAAGTTCAAGTTCAAGCCGTCATAGACGCTGGTCTGATACCAAAAATAATAACCCATCTATCAAAGGTGATAAATTCAGTTTTTAATATAATTCTGTTTATATATTATACATTATATAATATTATATATTATGTTTTTACAATAATTGTAGAGTGAATTCCAAACACAAAAAGAAGCAGCCTGGGCAATTACTAATTTAACTATCAGTGGAAATAGTCAACAAGTAGATTGTGTTATCAGTGCAGGCGTTGTTGCTCCCCTTTGTGCTCTGTTGTCTTGTCAAGATAGTCAAGTTATTCAAGTAGTTTTAGACGGCTTACAAAATATGCTTAAAATTGCTGGTCCTGATGTTGATGCCTTAGCTAATTTGATTGAAGAATGTGAAGGTAATTTCTTATTCTTATATCTCATTGCTATAAGTTAATTACTAATTTTAATGCATTCATTTTTTAATATTAACAGGCCTTGATAAAATTGAACAACTTCAAAATCATGAAAGTGTTGAAATTTACAAAGTTGCGTTTGATATCATCGAGAGATATTTCTCAGAGGTAATATATTATGTCATACTATGTATTGATAATTTTTACACTTTTTTTTTTTAATTTTAGGAATCAGCTTCACCTACTCAACCTCCATCATGCTTTGAATTCAATCCGGCTACAACAAACACTCAGTTTAAATTTTAGTTTTTTTTTTAACTATTATAATTTTTTTTTTATAATATTGAGTTAGCGCGACCACTTGGACGATAAAATATTGTACCTGTGATTTTTAAAATCATTCGCGTTGCTTTATATCCAATTTTGAATCAATTCTTACTAATTCAATCTAAAATTATTTTTTCACGTCCACTTTCAAATTGATAGTGTATCAATTTGGTAACTAAACCTTGGCCAAAACTGAAAGAAGAAGAAGGGAGAAATTGAGCTTTTATTGGAAATAAAATGTTAAACATATTATTGTGTAGCAAATATATAAAAATATTTTTTCAATTTTATATTGTATGCATTGTGTGGTTAATGAATTATTGATCACAATTTGTTGATACAATCGATGTTGGCCATTTTAATTCTAGTTCTGAGTATTTCATGCATCTTGATAGATCAATTTATTTTCATAGTAATACATGTTTGGTGTTCTTTTGGCTTCAATGAAGCTAATTAATAATACATTTGAAATAAATTCTGTTAGCATCTTACAATCCATTTGACATTTTATAAATGTAAACATTTTTACACCACTTATTAAATCTAAGCTAATTTATTTGATTAATTACTTGACATAGAATTATTGTCAAATTTAAATATTAGAATACGATTAACTGTGAAACCATGTACCATTAAATATTATTTTTATTTAATTTTATTAAGTCCATGTGGACAAAGTTTCATTTTGTTTAGAAATTAAAATAAAATCCCAGATAATCATTTGTAAAATGTTTGACTATTATGTTCTCAATGCATTTGGAATGTATTAATTTTGCTGATCTTTTTGTTTTAACTGTGTTGACATTTTAAAATGTCTGCCCATCTGTACATTTAAAATAGTACAATCTCATATGGGTGGAAAACTAAAAGTACCATGATTAATATAACATAACTCTTGTTTCAATATCTTATGCAATAAAATAATAAATATCAAATATAACTGTTTAACATGTTAAACTCCATTATTTTTACTAAGAGCAAATAGATGTTTTATTTATGATCATTGAGTGCTTTTAATTTCAATGATATTGGCCATCTAAATAATGATAATATTTTTTTTTATATACATATTATATTATGTTCAGCTCAATTTCACCCTTTTTAATTGTAATTATGTTATATCCGTGATAATTTTTGAATGTATTTAGTATTGTTATTATATCTACGTATTATAGAATTTTTTTCTTTAAAACATAATTTTACTTCCAGGTCACAATTAATAAATGTAATTCAAAATGTAAAATATAATATCAAGCCTATCATTTATAATGCAAATTTGTTGAGTAAAAAGTAAAATTGCTTTGTCATCATATTTACAATTTTCTGTAAATTAAAAAATTACCATGACAATATTGTACGTTTAACTATACTAGTTTACCTATTATAATAATATGAATTTAAAGTTCTATGTGTAATAACTCAAAGACATCTTGTACATTGACAATTATTAGGCTGAAGTACTCGTTTTGTTTTCCCTTCAACCATTGAAACTTTGCTCCCAGATGGAAACTTTATGACAAGATCTAACGAACCTTCATTTATTTCGATGTAATTTAAATAATTGTTTGTTTCAATCATTATGTTATTATTGATGTTTAACTTGTTATCGATTTTTTTTGTTGAAACTGTATTTTTTTTGTCGCTCTGTCTAGACTTGTTCAATACTTGATTTTTCGTATTTTTAACGCCCTGTAACAAGATTAAATTATTTACATTTAAAAATATTTTTATATTCAGTTTGGAAAATTTGTAATTTACCCCATCATTATGGATAGATAGGCTTCGTAATTTTTTCGATAATTTCTTTTTTGGTGGATCCCATGGTATTCTCTCCTCTGGTATATTGGTCTAATTGTTAATGTAATACAATATGATTATTAACTAATACATTGAGATCCTGCATACAATTATTTTCACCTTGATAATTGACAATTTTGGATTACATGCAATGCACCTTTCGTTTTTTACTTCAGTTTGTACTTTACCGGATTCTGACGATTCTTCAATATCAACAGTTAGTTTATTATTACTTTTTGTAAATAAATTGACTCTATGAAAAAACCTAAAGAATGAATCAAACTAATTACAATATATATGTGTATGTAATTGTATTTATCAGTAATGAGTGTTAACCTATTATTATTTACAATTTAAGACTGCTCTTTGTTTAAACGAGCACTATTTTGTTCTATCCTAATTTTTTTTTTTACCAGTGATTTTTCACTTTTAAATAGTCATGATAGGTTAGACCACAACCATTTTGATTATATATAATATATCATCCATAAATAACTATTTTACATTATCATGATGTCATGATCTCTACTGTGTAGGAAATGAGATAATTCAAAAAAGATGTGATCATACTTATATATTTTGTCATGGTCTAAATTACAAATTTTATTTTAAGATTTATCTTTTTCCTGGGGAACTCAAAATTTATATGTTGTAAATAATATTGAATGTAAAATATCGCTGATCGATATAAATTATATACCTATAATCTATATGTATGAAATATATAGTAATTATACATTTATACTATCCAGGATCAACAAAATAGTCAAATAAGTACCTTATTTAGTATGTAATGTAATGTTTCTATTGAATAATTCTCAGTTGATACAAATATACAATTTTAAATGCAATTGAAGTATTTTCTGAATTTTTAATAAAAAAAAAAAAAAATGCCTACAAACGACAATATTATAATTTAATATTATCTAGGAATAATTTATTTGTGTGATTCTTATAAAAAAATATCAATTGCTGGATTAATTGAGCTTTAGATGATATTAGTAGATTACCATTAAATCTTGAATAATCCAACAGAACAAGGTCATATATTTAGGATTAAGTATAGTATACTACTACTCAAGTTTACTTTGGCCCAGGCCACCCCCCAATTTCATATTCAAATTATTTTTACCAAGTATCGAGAACATGCTATGCTCATAGCTTATGCATATGAAATAAATCTATTGTGATAACTATAATTAATATAGATAATATAATTAATTATGATTTTGATTGTTGTATAACATATATAGATATATTATTATATTATATTTTCATAGAAAACGTTATCTTATAGTTATAGTTAAATATTTGGTTTATTCGTAGTAGAAAATAGGTAGGTATCATGGACATAAATACACGGCTGTCGACTCGGCCTCATGTATCAGATAGGTATTGTTTAGCGATTAGTTGATTCGGTACTGACATGTTGTCAATGTAGAAAACTAGAAACATTCAAATTTGATGTTAGGAACTTGCAACAAGTTATAAAATTGCTTAATTGCATGATACTTGAACGATGACTATGTTAATACAATGAAACGTATTAATCGCTATTTTACTAGCCCAAAAAATGCTAAAAAAAAAATAATGGAACTTAATCTGATGTTACTGACCCTGAAAATAAGAAGTTTCACCCCGTATGGTTAAAATAAATTTAATATTGCTTAAACATTATTTCTTATTAATTAACTCTTTTTGGGTGTGATTCGCTGTGCATATGGAAGCAAAATCATATTATGTTTTAATTTTTAGCCATCTCAAGTGGCGTTGCCCTTGACACTCGATTATGGTTATGCAAACATTGCAAACAGTATATTATAAGGTAGACAACAAAATTATAATTTCGAAAAGTTACAGAGTATAAAGTAGGTACCAAGTAGAGAAATGTCTAATCTATAGAGGTAGTTATACTCGAATAGAGATTATAAATGACACACTTACATATATTTTACTACTAGAAAATAGAGCCAATGTATGCCTATATTCAAAGAAGATTTTTACGGTATATTGGGCAATTTGGCCACAAGCGACCACTTAATACTGGTGGTCACCTATCTCAATCTTTACCTATGCCACTAAATGTGATTCAATGAATCGGTTTTGAAACCGTATCAAGCCTTGCTGACTATACCAGGATTAACTATCAGCTATCTCTATATATAAAATTACTTGTCCTGAGAGATTCATCATCCCCTAGCCGAAACTGCTGAAGCTATGAGTATGAAATTTGGGCAGTAGTTTTGTTTTGTGAAGTAGACACCCACTAAGAACGGATTTTTCAAAATTCAACCCCTACAGGGCTCAAAATGGTTAAAAGTACCTAGTAAAAATGAAAAAAATCACCTAGCCTGAACCACTGAAGCTATGAGGATAAAATGTAGTCAGTAGTTTCATTTTATAATGGAAAAAACCCCTAAGAAATGATTTTTTTAAATTCAACCTTACTGGGGTTAAAAGGGGTAAACATGGAAAAAATTGATAGAATTCACTATGTGTCTGTAATCTAACGCAGCTAGATTGCTTACCTGATAATATTATATTAAAATATAATATGATATTGCTTCGATGTGCACAGCGGCCACAGCGAATTACACCTAAAAGGAGTTAATTAATCAAAATTGTTTTCCGGGCAACTCCGGGTTATTCAGCTAGTATTTTATATTTTATGACTACCTACTTGGAATTTATTCATACTATTTAAAAGCAGTAGGTACCTATTACATATTTTATATTAAATTACATTACTATGGTTTTCGAACACAAAATGTAAAAATGTATATTACCTATACCGTAATATTAAATAAATGTCTATACAAAAAAAGTTATCCAGAAAAATGAACAGTAGATCTTAATCTAGATGAGATACCTAATAGATAATTCAATTTTCATCTGGATAATATTGGCTAGGTACCTATTAAAACTGATAAGATGTAACGGGGACGCTGTGTATCATTTATTTGTTATTTTACATGTTCCCCGTTAAAGATCCTCCCCCAGCCACCCTGTTAATTGATAAGCTTTCAATCGCCAATGACTAGATTAGTCTCAACACTGCCCAAGCCCGGAATCCGGATTAAAGATCAATTGGACCCAGAGACACCATACACTTAGGGGGCCCCCTTTCAAATTTAACTTAAAAATAATTGTATCATTACATATTCCCGAATTTATATTACCTACCTATTGTATAATTATTTTTTACTATACAAAAAAATGATATGGGATTTCGTTAAAAAAAAGACATTTCTTTATTTTCAACAGGCAATTTTTTTATAACATTTTTTAACACGTAGTTGTACCAATAATAAAATCGACTTTATTTTTCAAATGGTAACCACTATATTTTCTGATGGACTCTGGTAAAGCTTATTTTGTCTGAACATTTTGGCAGTCAAAATCACACATACCTATTTGGTAAAGTCAAACGGGTAGGTATAACGTTAATTGTTAGAAAAGTTATTTGATCGATAATTAGGAAAATAAAAGTGTCACATATACTACTACAGAATACTACGATCAGGGGCAGACCCATAGTTAGGAAACTTTTCTGTCAGGATACTTCAAGGTGCCACATATTAAAACCAGATTAGAAATCTATAATTGTGTACTATAGGTAAATATATAAAACAAAAAAAAATAATTTATACCTCTATATTTATCGTCCAAGTGTCCGACTACCCAAGACGTGAAAAGAGGCAAATGCAGTAACCCTAGTTACTACGTAACAATTAAAGTCCCAACAGATACCATATTTAGTATAGTATACTGTAAATACTAAATAGGTAATAATCAGATACGTCAAATAGCTAGTTAACCGTCGATTATGTTTCAATACAAAATAATCAGCCCATAGGAGCTATATAGTGATCACAACGAAAGGATAAACAAATTTACAATTAATGCACGCGCGTAACAATTGAATAAATATATATGGAAATAATTTATGAATAATTTTTACAAAGGTAATTGAATCGAAATAAAAAAGTTAATTAAATGACAGATAATTGTTGAAGAAAAATAAGTTGATATATTGAACAAAAGTAGATTTGGATTAAAATACAAGAAGGAATTAATTTGGAATAAAAGTAATTGTAATTCGCCTAGAATAAGTATAGTAGTAAGATATAATAAAAATAATAAATTTTTGTGTGATAATTTAAATCGTTAAAAGTAATAAATTAATTTATTATAATTATATAATAAATAGGTAGTTGAATATTGTTATAATATTGCTGGCTTAGCTACCCAGTAATAGTTTAATAATATTCAAACACGTTACTTGTAAAAAGATCGCGGCGAACCTCAATAATTAATTCACGAATTAATAAAATCGATTTTATCAAAACTGGTTTGTCATAAATATTACTGTTAAATTTATACTTTGTTAAGTACACACATAGACATTTTTACGTTTGACCTCCCTGAAGTACCAACTAGATCCAATTTTATACCAGTAACCAGACTCGAAGTTGTAGATCGATGTATTATTGTAATATTACAATTATAAAAAGTGGTCACACACAAAAAAAAAAAAAAAAATTGAATACACAGATCTGCATCGGTAAACTAATTTACATTCAGTACTTAGTATCTTAATGCCTACCGATGCGTGTTATCTATCAATGTTTTTATTTCGATTTCAAGAAAAGTTACCTATTGATGTAATTAATTTAAAATATTACACAGACTGTAAGTCTGTAAAATTAAAGTTTTTATTTCATGAAACGGATAAAATATACCTATGTCCATTTCATGAACTATTTGATTTACACGAGTTACACGATATGATCGTAGTTCATGACATGGATATCAATTTCATGAAAAATACGATTACACCAAGTGGATGAAACATGGTATATATATATTTTTTTTTACTTACAAACAATGAGTCTTATTGCTATTCAGTTCTATCAGTTTTAATAAACTATATGAATGCAAAGAATGATTAATTTTTTTGCTTATATTTTTTTTTGAAATTTAAATTCCTTTTTTGATTGATTTAATTAATAAATCACTAAAATTGTAATAATAAAAACAATAATATGGTTATAAATGGTAGGTATCTATTACTGCCGTGCTAAGCAAAAACGGAATGTTTCCGGTCAATGTGATTATAATATTTAATATCGGCAGTTATAAAAATATAAAATATGTTTTTTATCAGTAAATCAAGCCGTAAAAAAAGGGGACAATTGGTCAGCTGTACGGTTGTATAGTTGTCGAGTAAGTCATCGCTATGAACATTTTGATGTCAAATCATTG